TTGGTCTCAAGAGTCATGATTGGCACATATGGATTGAGCGGGTAATGTCGATGATGTTGCGTGGCTTCATCCATGAGGATGAATGGCTAGTACTGGCAGAGTTGAGCTATTTCTTCTGTGTTCTTTGTGCGAAAGAACTATCGCCTGGCCTGCTAGAAGAAATGGAAGAGTTAGCGTTGGAGTTGATCTGCAAGTTAGAGAAGATCTTTCCGTCGGGCTTCTTTAATCCAATGCAGCACTTGATTTTGCATCTCCCAACCGAGGCAAGATTGGGGGGCATGCAAAATCATTGGTGCTATGCAACTGAGAGGATGCAGAAGATGCTACGAGCAAAATGTAAAAATAAACATAAAATTGAAGCATCGATCGCTGAGGCATTCATTACTGAGGAGGCGGCAAACTTCATGACAGCACACTACGAAGCCAAAAAGCGTCATTTGCATAATCCAAAGCCTCGGTACAATGCTAACGACCCTAAAAAGGGTGGATCCAACCTCAACCTATTCAAAGGGGATCTTGCGGCAGTCAGTGCTTCTAATTCCTTAATGTTGGATTTCTAAGAATGGCAGATCATTTCGTTGTATATCTTCACCAACCTAACAGAAGTGCGGCCGTACATCGAGTAAGTTCTCAGTACATTGTTTCGCAACTTCTAATTCCTTTGAACTGCTCTTATTCCCGGATAAATTTGATACAGTCGATACGTCGCCAAATTCTCGTATGGAGCGGTGATCCAAAAGGATTCGGTCGAAGAGTATGAGCTTTTGGCAAAGCATGGAGGCTGCTATCCCGGTTTCATCTCTTGGTTCAAACAAACGGTAATTTCCATTAGACCATTTCATTTCTTCGTCTAATTTGTGGCTAATATAACAATCCCTTTCGTATTGTAGGCTAATTCAGAGTTTATGGACGCCGAGTTGAAACAAGTCTCTAATGGTTTTGACTTTAAGGTTCGTTCATTTGACAAATACGACATCAATGGGTATCGCTTTCGTACCTATGGCAAAGAGCTATCTATGGTCGACCGAAAGTCTACAAATTGTTGTGTCTCTGCTATCGGCGAAGGACATACCGAGTATTATGAAAGAGTTGAAGCAATTTATGAACTTCAATTCTATGGTGCAAACCCACCAAATGTCGTAGTCTTCAAATGTTATTGGTTCCAGCTGAAGGAGACTACAAGGACTCAGGAACATATAGGGCTAGTGGAAAGCAAACAAAGCACCCATTTGGATGTTCCCGATGTCTATATTATGGCTCAACAGGCAACCCAAGTTTTCTATCTACCATGGGCCTATCAAAGTGATCCAAATCTCAATGGTTGGGATGTCGTTTATGAAGTGCCACCACGTGTTAGACCACCTCCCCCCAATGAAGAGGATTATGAACCTCACATTAACCCAGACACATATGAAGGAGAATTCTTCTAAGAAACACGTCTTTCCAAAAAAACGTTTCAAGAACCGCTCTACTTCACCCCAGAACATTGAAGTAGACAGCTACAGTGAACCCGACTTCACCCCTGAGTCGGAACAAGAAGAGCCTGAACTAGAAGAGGTTACTGCTGCGGATGACCTGTCAATGCTTGACCGATTACGTAAAGGTGGCCTTCCACATGATGATGCATTTATTATTAATGATGATGATGAGCACGTCATTACTGGTAGTGATGATGATGATGCATTTATTGATCCCGGAGCATTTATTGAACCCGACGACCCAGATTATTATTAGGTATTAAATTTTTTTATGTTGCACTTGATTTATATAGTTACTTGTATGATTGTATGATTTATATAGTTACTTGTATAATTTTCTTACTTTGTATGATTGTTTCTTATACATAGTGCCATGGCCTTGATGTCCGTCCCCGTCGGCCCTCGCCCGCTTTATGATTCGGATGTGGTAAATTCTCTTTCATAACTATTTGTTGCATTTCACATTTATGAAAATTATGGCCATCAAGTTGACATATAGATATTTTAATCTAGGCGGTATGTGAACCAGAATTTGAAACCGACCCTCTTATCGAGAAGTTAAATTTAGTTGAAAAGGAAAATGAGTATTTGAAAGAAAAAATTAAAAGAATTGAAGAAGAGATGATGACATTGGAGTTGTATCTGTATGTTGTCGATGTCGTCGATGATCACAAGATGAAGATGAATGCAATGCGCTTGAAGATGGATGCAATGCGCCTGAAGCTTAAGAAGATTACAAAATATGCCATTGATAATGAGGCTTGGTATCATTATGTCGTTGGATCAATTGTTACCTTAGTTGCGATCTTCATCGCATTTGTTGTGATGAGGGTAAGTTTTCTGTTTTGCTTAACAAATGCATACTTAGCTTATTTTGCTCCTAAATGACACAATTACCTAAGTTAGATAAAAAATGAGCTTTACTTACGTAAGTTGGCTCAAAAATGGCATCATCACCTAGGATACCACAAAAATGACCTATACTTACCTTATTTTTCTCCAAATTGACATAATAAGCTTAGTTGACCTATACTTTACCTAGGATAGCTATAAGATGATCTATACTTAGCATTTTTTTTCCTTCTAAATGACTTAATATGCTTAGTTAGCTAAAAGTGGCATAACTACCTAGGATAGCTCAATAATGATCTATACTTAGCTTAACTAGTTCATTTATGACATAATTAGCTTACTTAGGTCAAAAATGGCATAACTACCTAGGTTAGCTCAAAAATGACATATACTTAGCTTCTTCAGTTCATTTATGACATACTTAGCATACTTAGGTCAAAAATGGCATGATAATTTTTGTTACCTCCAAAATGACATAGACTTAGCTTATTTTCTACGAAAATGACATAATAACCTTACTAAGCTCCAAAATGACATATTTACCTAGCTTACCTCTAAAATGACCTACACTTAGCATTTTTACCTAGCTTAGCTAAAAAGAAGAAGAAGAAGAAGAAGAAGAAGAAGAAGAAGAAGAAGAAGAAGAAGAAGAAGAAGAAGAAGAAGAAGAAGAAATAGAAGAAAAAATCGTCTTCTTCTTCATCTTCATCATCATCATCATCTTCTTCTTCTAGCTAGTCTTCTTCTTCTAGTCTTCTTCTTCTTCTTCTAACTTTCTTCTTTCCCAATTTGCAGATTTGCTTTCGATGAGGAAGCTTGCATTGATGGAGTCTACTCTTCTCCTTGTGCTTCCTTTTTGTTTTGATATTATAGGATGAACAATGTGAAACTTGCTACCTATATATGTATGTATGGATGAAACCATTGTATGCTTGTTCTTGGATATGTTAGCTAGCTATATATGTTGCATATGGACTTTTCGTTTGGTATGTATATGTGTTGGATGATCATATCCATATGGCAGGATATGATTTGGTATGTATATGTGTTATTATGCTTGTTGAAAGTATTTTCAAATGTGTGTGCGTGTGTGTATATATATATCTATCAAATTCTGTGAAATTGAATTAATTTAAGAAAAAACAGAAAAAACAGGGGTTGTACAGGCTAGCAGACGGCAAAGAGGTTTGCCATCAGCCAGCAGACGGTAAAGCTGTCACGTGGCAGCTACCTGTGCAATCTGGGGTGCATTGGGCTGGCCTATTTGGCAGCTTTACCGTCTGCCAGCAGACTGCATAGCCTGCCATGTGGCAGCTACCTGGGGCCATCTGGGCTGCCATATTTGTGCACTTTGCCGTCCACTGGCAGACGACAAAGATGAAGCACGTCGTTAACACCTTAACGACCCTAAGCTACCATTGTCGTAGCTTATTCAGTCGGACCTGTTGTCGTCTGCTGGCTGACAGCAAAGGCCTTTGCCGTCCGCCAGGCATGCCTTTGCCGTCAGCCATGGCAGACGGCAAAGTGCCTAATTCCTGTAGCGCATGGCTATCCAGTGTTACCAGCCTTTTTTGTTTATTTGGGCTTGATGAGATGTGCCCTCAACAGAACCTAGTATATTTGTTGTTGTGTGTGTGTGTGTGTTGTAGATTCGATTGTGGTACTTGGTGGTGTGTGGCGGTTTGCTTTATTTATAAAGCAGGGCCAAAGCCTTTTTGGTAAATAAGCAAAGGAGTTTTCAAGAATAAACATTAGTGCCTTTCATGGCATAAAGAAAAAAAAATTGACGCAGTGGATGGCTTTGACGCAGCCACAAAGTAGCGCCAATGGCGCAATCAAATAAGTAGACTTTGGCTTTGGGGATTTGGGATCTTTTTTCCCTTCCAAACAAGACCTAATTTTGTATTATAAACTCGCATTCTCTACATCTCCTTGCTTGCATGTATGAGTATGCCACCAAGCCATCTTTCTTGAAAAAGGAACAAGGAAAAACCATTTCAGTTCACTCAAGGGAGGTGATCAGAACTTATGAATATCTGTACAAGTAGATCTAAATCTCACAAAAGGTTAGCATAAAATTGAAATAACAGTAACTCATAAAAGGTTGCTCTTACTTCATTTCCCAACAGATAGATAACATCGCCCAACTTTCACAGCCTAACAGATTGTTTGGAACTTATACACCATAGTATGAATCATATGTTGGAAACTATATGCAAAATACATGGTGCAACCAAACCTTGTGTGATTAACATTATTTGCTACAGCCTCTTTGGTTGTAGGATGAAATCATTTTCTGGACAATTAGAAAGGGCCTCATCATGTCACAAAGCGTTGAATGCACTATATAAACCATTTTAATATGCTCAAGGCTCGTACAAGTCATCAAGAAAACAATATTAACCTCCATATGCCATGCTACTACTACCTAATATGGCGCGACAGCTGAGTATGCTGACCTCAAATGAATTGTAATTGTCCTCATGTAATACCTATATTCCATTTCTCTGCAACAGTACACTACTTATATTACATTGTAAACAACATTATATCCATCTATGCTCCAGGGAAAATCTGCTTCTGCGCTACCAGTCAATATTTCAATTCAGCTGAATTGCCGAATTGCCGCAGGTTCAACCCCAGTGGTGTCCATATAAAGAACCATCTAATTTAAGCACCTTCAGCTTTCTTCTTTATTTTGAGAGCAGCTCTGACGACATTCCCCCTTGTGATCATCCCAACCTAGTTCAGGATAGAAATTTCGTTTTAAGACACCGAGCTAAAGAGAGAAAAGGAGAGTCATAGATTCATCCACTCACCAAATTTCCCGTGCTATCAACAACAGGCAATCTGTGGTATTTGGTTTCAAGCAGCAACCTGTTGAACAATAAAAAGAACACCACTCTCAGTACTAATAAGTCAGTAGATTCAGCCCTGGGGATTCACACGGATTAGTTGAAAATACCTTGCAGCAGCGTCGAGGTTAGTAGTTTCACGCACCACAAGAGGTGAGGGAGTCATAACATCACCGATAACTTTGCCACTGGTTTTGCTCAAGAGTCTCTGGATCTCGCGAAATGTCTGCAGACAAGTGAGGAAGGAGTCTGTAAGTTACTGAACCGAGAACATTGAGTGGGAGCACACAATGAAAAATTAACTTATGTATCCCGGGGCCCTGGATTAATTGTAAAAATGGTCTCCAGCAAGGTGACCCACTATCCCCCTACCTATTCATAATCCTCGCCGATCTGCTACAGCGCTTAATCTTACAGGCATTCTCTCCCAACCAGCTCTGCCACCCGATCTACACTAATCGCCCTCCTACTGTGCTCCAGTACGCTGACGACACACTAATCATTGCCTTTGCCTCTTCGCAAGCCGCGAACACCCTCAAAGATATCCTAGACAAGTTCACCCTCGCTACTGGTCTTAACATCAACTTCCATAAAACTACCTTTGTTCCCATCAACACGGATACCATCACTAGCCAAAACATCGTCTCCACCTTCGGCTGTGACCTATCCTCCTTCCCCCAAATTTATCTCGGCCTACCCCTATCCCAAACGCGCCTGCCTTCCTCTACTTTTGAACCTATCATCCAACGTTTCCTAAAGTACCTCTCCGGTTGGGCGGCTAAACTACTCTCTCGCGGCGCTAGACTAACGCTTATCTCCTCTACTCTCGACACCCTTGCCAATCACTTCCTGTCCGTTTTTAGGCTACCCAAGAAGATCATCAAAAGGTTAGATGCTATCCATAGATCCTTCTTCTGGGCCGCTGACGAAACATGCTCGGGGGCCAAGTGCCTTATCGCTTGGAAAAATGTATGCACACCCAAAACTGCCGGGGGTCTAGGCATCAAAAGCCTGCTTCTCCAAAACAACCGCCTCATGAAATTTGCCTCCAAGCTTCTCCAAAAACAAGACTTACCTTGGGTTAACTGGTTTTTCCAACACTACTCTCTTGACTTCGAAAACAAACCTCACAACCCCTCATACCTACGGAGAATCATAAACGAACAGCTCCGCCCCCTCCACAAAATCCTTTGTCCTTACCAACAATGGCACCTCCACCTTCTTCTGGCTAGACGCTTGACTGCTCCCAACTCCGCTCGCAGACACCTACCCACACCTTTTCTCCCAGTGGCCTACTCGCTACTCTGAGGGACCGCCTAACAAATGTTGCTTCTATAAAGCTTGCGTCTGTTTTGTCTTTGTTTCAGTATGTTGCCACCAACGACGCGCCTGACGACACGTTCCTCACCCATGGCTCACCTTCTCTTCAATGTAACTGATGCTTTGAATGTTACATACTATGTAAGTTCATTATATTATAGGGACCTAATCCAGTAATGTCCCACATTCTTGAGTAGGGAAAACCAGCAACAATTTGCTCTACAACACGTTTAATTACACCAACAGTTTTCACGGGGTACAGTATAATATACTGTTCAATCAACAATATTATATAACTATTACCAAACATATTTTAATCCATTAAATGTGAAGGTGCTGAAACATTTGCTAGATCACTGTTTCTCAACATAGAAAGATAATAAATTCCCATCACAGAAAATTCCTGCCTTGCAAACCATAACTTCCCATCCCAACACATGGAAGTTATAAAACTCAACATATGAAAAGATATGCACACTTAGGAAATATAAAACATAAATCATCAATCAAGGTCTTACAGAATATACCTTCCAAGTGCTATCTACTTCAGGGAACATACTTGAATTTGTATCAGCCAGTCCACATCCTGAAACATGAGAATGTATTCAAATATTGACGGAACTAGTTGGTAAGATTCATTGTGTTGTAGATATAATCCCAGTACATCTGAGAGTGCTACAAAAGCACTGAAGTCTGGGAATGAATGTTCAAGTTTATCCGTGAATCTTAAAGCAGGAAACAAAAATTATGACCATAGCTGTTAGCATCGTTATGTTGTAGATATTATATCCCAGTTTTTCTAATTTTACCTAAAATCCAGGATTGGAAGATCATAAGACAGCGGCCATTATTTAAACCGCTCCTTTAAATTAAGATCCTAACGCATATGTGAATTGAATTTTACAGCTCACAAAATATGTTTTAATGTGATTATGATTTCTTTGCAAGAAAATGATTAAAAGTTCAAGATGGAATACCTGCCATTGAGTCCAAAGCTAATAGATCATAATCTGAGACAACGCCAACCTGCAGGTGGAAATAAAGTTGTGCAGTTGTGGCTGAGTATTTCATTACAGAAAAACTAGGGTGCAACCCAAACCAACAGAAAAAGGTCAAGAAGAAAGCATGTGAAAGTTAGCCAGTTCATCATTGCAATATAATGCTTCCTAGACATACCATGATACAGAACAACAAAAGGGCTCTTTCCTTTTTCCTTGGGAAGAACCTTTCTCTTAACCCTCTCTAAAAATCAAGAATCTAAAACAGTAGGAAGAGGATTGATTTGTCATGGCATATGAAATCCCACATGGATTGCTTAGAAAAGTTATTCTGATGCCGCACATCAATAATTACAGAGAATCAGAGAAGGAGAGAGAAAGAGCTTAGATACATCCAGACTATCAAAAGGAAATTTCCATGATCGGGTTAGAGCTCATATTTAACTTCCTCCAATATTTGTAGGAAACCCCTATTCTATGAAATTCTTTTGATGCAATCATTTGGTCCAAATGCATGGATAGGAAATTTTAGTTGGGATTGCAACACTCTATTTGCCGCCCAAAATCCTTTGTTCCGAAAAAGGTCTGGTATCTTCTGAGATTAGCTACGTCATAGAAAACATGGACTAGGAAACAAGAAGAGCGGTTAAATGTAAATGGCACTGACCAACTTCCAGTCGTCATCGATAACAGGGAAACCAGAGATCCTGTTCTGCACCAGCATCTCGAGCGCTGCACGCAAACCAAAGAACTAGTTAGCAATTTGGAAGCTGGTCAGTAAGCAGAAGAGAAGTACACAACTAAGAAGGGGCGACACCTTCATCAACCGGGGTTGACGCTTTGACGACATGGAGATCCTCCCTTTTCGTCATGAAGTCTCCAACAGTGTACACTCCGTTGTTATTCTGAGTAAGCAGGATGTAACACAAGCAAAATTAATTATTTGAGGCTGAACATGAACACTCAGCAGTAACAACATTTCGTTAAGTATTTGGGTAATGGAATTTGAGCTATCAGCCAAGTTGGTGGTGGAGTGGCGCAAGATCTGCCTCTTGGCTTATGTGGAGATATTGATTCCTCCACTCCACACAACAATTTGCTTCTGGGGAAACCCCAAGCATAGCAGATGATACATCATTTCTTTTCTTTCTGAGATGGCTCATTGCCTTATATTACTCAGAAATAATCCCAGCTGCTTTGTTGCTACAAAAGCAGGCTGGGTGCTTTACCAATTAAGGGGAGCACGAAAGCAAGCGAGCTAGTTGCTTAATCCGTGCACTACACGTAGAGCAGAAAAGCAAGGGACGCAAAATTGGCTTGCTGCAGAAGAGAAAAGGCGTGCGGACGCGGCGCTCACCCCGACGAGGCCGTTTCCAGAGGCCGGCGCCGGCGCTGGCGCGGCCGCCGCGGCGTACGCGCGGACGGACGCCCGCCGGCACCTGCTGGGCGCGGCGCCCCGCCGTGCCGCGCGCGCGGGCCGAGAAGGGACGAGGAGGAGGCGGCGGCCGGCGGCGAGGGACGCGTCGGCGGAGAGGAACAGCGTGGACGCGGCGGCCTCCATGGCGAGCGCGGGGGCAATCAGAGAGGATGGAGGGAGCGGGAGGGAGAGGCCACGATGATATTATGGCAGGAGAGAGGGAGGGAGACCGCCGATGGATGGGAGAAAGGATGGGCTTGCTTGGATTTTT